CTTTACTAAAAATGAAAAAAAGCTACAAAAATTTCCCTTATTGCAATATTTTGATAAATAATATTATTCAAAATACAATTCATTCTTCTTCTGTAAACAAAACTGTAAATAACAAAACAAATTAACAACATTTTTAAATTGCTTGCTTTCAAAAATTATCCCACTGTAAGTAACCCACACACACTCAAGCCCAACAAGCAAACACGCACACACTTATAAACATAAGCTTACTTGAGCACACACACACACACACAAAGACAGACAAACAAAGGAGAGCCTGTAACCAACAATGCCGAGAAACTGAGCCCGCTTGTTGATACTTTCTCTGCAAATGTAAAACAAAATGTTGCCAAAAGTGCTTGTGGAGGAGGAGTGTGGGTTAAAAGATTCCCAACATGTGCCAAAACTTGAGGCCAAATTAAATTACATACCCCTGAGGGAAAACGCAAAAGAAACACAACTATTCCGAGAAAAAGGAGCAGAGGAACCCATACCTTAACCCCCCTCCACGCCGAACATGGTCGCAATATGTAAATTCGACAAAAAGCAACAAAATTAGCACACATAACAAAAGTGTTGAATTTCAAAAGGAAACTCGGCAGAGGAATTGCAAAAAATATACATACTAAGAGTATATGAAAGCATCAAAGGTGACAATCGAAAGGGGGTGGGGACAGCCTGTGTGAAGAGAAGTGAGTTAACAGCAGAAAAATATTCCAACTACAGCAGCACCCAGCTATCAACTGTTACTCTCAGCATCCACAGAGAGCCAGACGATTGTACAGTTAGACTGAGAGGGGAAATAATTGCAAAACAAACAAAACCGAAATAGAGTCGACAGGAAAAAAAACGAGTCATAAAGACCGCCGCGTCGCTGCTCAGTTGTTTTTCACTTTTTGAATCGCCATTTGGCAGTTCATCAGCAGAGCAGCAGCAGCGACGGCAGCGGCAACAACAACAATTACAACAACTGTTACAGTAACAGAATTCTTCAGTCGCGCTGCTCGCTCTGCCTGCGTCGCTGCTACTGTTTGGCCGACGCGTCGCAGCTTCTTGGCGCTGCCTTTTGTTTGTTTGCCAAAAACGGCGACCGCAGAATGGCATTTTGAGAAATTTGGAAACATCGAAGGCATGGGAAAGGAAACTGGGAACTGGGTACTGGGAACTGCCAGCAGTTGACAATTGACTTCATTTTCGAAGCAGTTAGAAACTGCCCGGCCTTCCTCGAAGCACCCTTTCGAGGCACCCTGTTGAAGCACCCTGTGTGGCCATTGTACTGTTTGACTAATTTGGCGCCTTTCATCGCCGTCGCTTTTGCTCTTCGGTTCTCGAAACTGTTGCTACACACACACGCACACAGGCAGACACACTGAGATGAGGAAGCGAAGCAACGTTGACATTACCGTTATGATTACAATGACCCCCATGATCCCGGCAATGTGTGTGTGTGTGTGTGTGTGTGTTGTGTCCTTTGTTGGCAAATGCTTAGCGGTAGATTTTGGGCTGCAAAAGCAAAGCAGGCGCAACCAACCAGCCGGTCTTGCAGCGACAGCCCCGCCAAATACACGCCTCACTACATCCACACACAGTACAGCAACAACAACAACAACAACAACAAGAACAACAACAACTGCTATCTACAGACGCACTGCCGGGGCAGCGCGGACCCGCTCTGAGCTACAAAAGGCCCGCAGTTTCAGGTCCCGCACCCATCAGGGAAACGCAAACGTTTTCCTTTTTGATGATGAGAACGACGCATTCAAATAGGACTACACGGAACACAACACAGCCTGCCTAAACCAGTCCAGCACCAAATAGTACCAGTACCAGCCCCATCCGCATCATCATCCTCCCCTGCCTTTTCCTGCACTCAAAGAAATGTGTAACAACAAAAGTATTTTCTTTCTATTCAGTGTATCTTTACTTTGTGAGACTGAAGTATTCGAATCAAATATTAAATCGTGGAACTATCCTTCATTTGAGGAACTTGTTGTTTAGACACTCCTTAGAAGGAAGTCCAGGAAGTGAGCTCCTGAGTCTGGCGTCCGTGGCTTGAAGGGTGAGTATTTGAGCGAGTAGATTCGGAAGAGCATTCAGTTTTCTGAATACTTACGTCAACTTGTCACTGGGAAAGTACGAGCAAACTCCAGTATTGAAGCATTTTCTCTCAGTGCATAGTCTGTGGACAATGCGGCGTATGATTATTTCGCTGCTAATGTGGCCAGACTAGCGACTAGAGAGGCTTGTGGCTACTTCTCTGTGGCAACTCATTGTTAAGCGTGACAAGTTTTCTGTTTGTGTCAATCTTTAAATTCTTGTTGGCCATTTGGCCATTTCTAACGAGGCGTCAGCGGAAGCGTCGCAATCGAATTGAGTAACAAACGGAAGTCGTCCAATTGGCGCTGCAATCAACGTTCGCCATGAGTTGAAGCATAAACGCTGTTTATGGGAACGCCTCCTAACCTTGAGGCTTGTCCCACGCCACGCGACTTACTGATTGGTCGACGGCTTAGACGCGGCTAAAAGTGTTGACAGAGCATTTCTCAAACTGTCGCGAATAGCGGCGTAGTTGACTGATATTATTAGAGATGGTTGCGTGATACATTTTGTTGTTCTTAGACATCTTGAAAGCTATAGTGCTTTACTCGCTGATAAATTCTTTATTGTTTATTGAATATTTGATATTAATTGCTTCACTTTGATGGAAGAAGTTGGAATAAAAGCCTTTTTTATCTTTTCTTCGTATTAATTCAAATAATAAACGGGCTGGATTTGCTATCGAACTGATTAGATATGATGATAAAAATCATAAATTAATATAATAAATATAATAAATTAATATAAGTAAAAGCAAATTTGAAAAACTGTTCTCCGCGTGTTCATTCGAAAAAAATCTTTAGATTTTAAAGCTGTTTCTGAACTATAAAGAAGGTCTAAGCAATTCAGCATTTACTTAAGTGATATGAATTTGGAATCTTAAAACTAATTCCGATCAATTAAAACAAGAGAGAACGCTACGGTCTAGCGAACCCGATAGTGAAATACCCTGCACCAAAAAGAAGGAGAGGAAATATTCGCTTCGAACTTTTCTTAGAATTGATCGATTAGTATGAAACTAAAAAAGAAAAGTAGATAATTGTATATTAATTATGCGTGCGAAGTTTGGATTATTGAGCGTTTGATTTGTGGACAGTATTGACGAAATTCTGTAGCTAGAGAAAGGAGGTAAAAATCAAGTATGTTGCCATCTCTAAAGAGTTCGGCGGTCTGGTCTGTCCGGGAATGTTTGCCACAACACTGGCAGCTGTTCATATCCGAATTTTTTAGCCCATAGCCGCGGGTTTCTTTCTGTTTGGCCACGCTTTTTTGATTAATGGTCAGCGCTTTAAGCCACGTCGACAGCGACGGCGTTGACTTTTTTATTTGGCAATTATGTTGTTTGGACCGCGCACAGATTTCGCACCTAAAACATTTGTCATGCGACGGGCTCACGCCCCAACTGAACTGGAAGTGGGGAGGGGGGCATGGGGCATGGGGATTGGAGATTGGAGCCTGAGGCAGGTTGCTCGCTCGGACTTTGATTTCATGTTTTTCAGTCTTGTCGCTGACATGCGGCGTCATTAATTCTGCCAAGTGGTACGGCCTCATCCTCATCCACATCCACATCCGCATCCAGATTCGGATCCGCACACTCTCTCTTATTCGTTTTATCATTTTTCAAACGTTTTGTCGGGGATTCTTTGACATCTGACAAGTGTTTTTGGCTGTGACAGAAGGTGGCAAACAGAAGCCAAATAGCCGGCCAATGACACAAAAGTTGCAGGACACCGAGTCCGCCTTTCGTCCTCGCCTCGTCAGCATTCCCTACGAAGCTAATTCAGAGCATCGCACTGTGGAGTACGAGTCTGATAATGTGTGTAACAAACAAGTCTGAAGTAGTTATACAAATTTTTAGCACTATTATAAAAATAAAAATTCAATTTAAAGCACTTGAAGGTGTCTGTCAGGCTTTGTGATGATTGTTACATTTTCACTTTGGACAGACACCTAATATACTCTCTCTTTCAAGTATACAGTATTATAAATTAAAAATATAAAAATTCAAATTTTAAAATACACATAAAATTATAACAGAAATGAAAATAAACTTTAAATAAGCTTAAAAACAATTTAAATACAAATAAAAGTAAAACAAAGAAAAATTTAAAAATAACCAAAAGTAAACATGAAATAAATTTTAAGAAAAAAAATAAAAAAATAAAAATATAAAAATAAATACTAAATAATAAATTTAAATAATATCATCTACATCTAGGCACTATTTTATTCTAACAAATAAAAATGAATGCAAAACATATTAGGAATTATGTATTACTCGAAATGTCGAAAATAGATGATTAAAATTTTGTTTTTAATCAGTTCAAAAATTTAGTTTACAAAATTAATGCAACAAGAATTGATTCAATTTTTATGGAAAACTAATTTAAAACTGAACTTAATTAAAATTAATATATTTTACTTATATCTTTATATTCACATCTAGACATTATTTAATTTAGAAAAAAAAAAAAATTAGTTGAAAACATAGTAGAAATACATAAACTCCAAAATGTCGAAAATAAATTAAAATTTTTGATAAAATAAATGAAACAAATATGTTATCAATTTTTATTAAAACTAAATTAAAACTCAATTGAATTAAAATGAAAAATAAATAAAAACCTTTATTAATGGCAACTAAAATGAAAAACTGCAGATTTCAGCGAATTTCCAAAAACCATCTGAATGCCCAATTGGCATTTTTGAGAGTTTTGTGCCATTGTGCATCGTTTTGTGGCTTGAAATTTATGCAGATTGAAGCATTAAATTGCAGACAGCGCGCAGATAACTCTGTGGCGCGTGGCCAACCCCCGACTGATACCCATTCCCACCACACCAGCTCGAACCACACCTCGCACCACACCACACAGCATCCCAGTCCACCCTCCGAAAGACTACTGTTCGCATGGTAATTAGCGCGTGTTGATTTCAGCGCCATTTATTTGTACATGGGCTTGGTCGTCGTTGGATTAAATGAAGCGTGAAACTCGATTTGGTTCAATGCATAAAATATGTAATTGAAATCTCATAATGGACGTCTTAAATGCTCTGTGGGGCCAGTTGCCATTGCGTGCCATCGTGCGGCTGCTTGCTTTTGAGGAAGGGCGAGAGGAACACCCACCACATGCGATGGCCAAAGGTCAGTCTCAGGTTCTGCCAGCCCCCCAAATCGTAGCTGCGGTCATCCTTCCGACCCATGCTAGTGCCACGCCATAGCATATAGAGCTGATAGAAGAAATGGACGCAGGGTCCAGCCGTGACCAAAGTCAGCAACTTGAAAATGCCCATATGGAATAAAACCTTCTGGTATTCGTACCAATTGGCCAATTGTTCTGGGTCTTTGTCAACCATATTGCCAAAAAATATCATCGGCTCGTTGACAATCAGCATGCGCTTCTGCCACAAAAAGATGCCATTGTAGAGTAGCGAGAAGAAACAGCCGACGGTCAGGTGCAGCAACAGGGCCACGAAGTAACGCTGATTGGTGAATCCAATGCAGGTGCACAAGAAGTTGCAGTGATGGTCTCGCTTCAGAACGCACTTCTTGCAGCGACGACAGTGCCACGAGCGCGGTGGCATCAACATCTGGCAATGGGTGCACAGTCGCCACAAGTGTGCCTCATGCAGCGGCGGATGCTGCCGTATCTTAGACACCGCCTCCAAACTGGTGTCCGTTCGACGACAGCACCAAATGTTTCCCAAAATGTTGAACGTTAGAAAGAAGGCCAATACATGGTTCAGCTTGTACGCCAGACCCCGAGTGTCGCACAAATGGGGCAGAATGTAATACAACTCGTAGATGACCAGAAAGCCTGTGATGAACAGTAGGATTCCGAGGCATATGGGATCGCATAGGCCCACCAACTTGCTCTCATGTCGATTGATTAAGCGACGCATTCTGTTTTTTAGACGCGGGTAGTACTCGCGTTTGTGCATTACACTAAATTTCTAGCTACGTGTATTTATAAATTTTGTCCGTGTCAACAACTGAAACTGTGATGCGTTTTCAAAAATCCACGCCAACTAGTCATAAAATTTACTTGCTAGGTTTTAGAGAAGTTGTCTTAAGCAGCAATAGCAATAGATGTCATAATATGGCAAAGCATGAATTCCATAGAAGTTGGTATATAATATATAGTCGTCCATGTCTAAATCTAAGCTACATAATTTATTATAATTCAATCAAGGCAATGCTGTCCAGATCATTGCAGCAGGGTGGCAACCCTGGCATGGTGGCAACGCTGGCGGCATTGAGAATTACAATCTTTTGAATTAAAAGGGCATATCAGTGGAAAAAAGGGAATGCAAAGAATGAGAACGTCTTGAAACAACTCCTGTAAAGATTGTTGCCTTCACTACGCTGCTCCTAAAATTTTAGACTGTGCATTGCGAACTGATATTTTGCAACATGGTGGCAGCTCTGGCAGATGAAGTAACTTTACAAATTTCAACAGCATCTGCTTTCACAAAGCTGTATACTGACTTTTATAACATGTACCTTCCTAGCTTCGAATGCTGGAGTGAATAATAATGCCAATTTGTTAGATATCTTTGTTTTTCTCGGCAAAGATTGCTCGTCAATTTCTACAACTCATTCTTAAATAAATTCACCCTTAAATCGTCTAAAGCAAAACTAAATTAAAATATTAAGAATATAAAGAGCTGCCTAAGCAAAAGGAAAGGTAACTCAAAATTTCACAAAAGTTAAGCAATTTTCAAAATAAATAATGGGAAAGAGTTAAAGATAAAGAAATATAACAAAATATAATTGCGGTATCTGCGACTTATTTTCTGAGTGCATGTGTTATGATAAAATCCATGGAAGTGGACAGGCATGTGGACAAATCGTACAATCGCATTACGCAACTTATATTACTGCTAGAATTGAAATATAACTTTTAGGCAATTGTTAAGGTCGACTTAAGCGTTAATCGGCTTAGCATTGTCGGATGGATAGAGGTGAAAGGTCGAAACACGAGGCCTGCTCAGCGACAATGTCTAGCAGGAAGCTCCAGGAAAATGACGACAAGTTCAAACTCAAGCCCAAGTAATGGTCTGTGTAATTGAAATGAAATGTTAACGCCCACTGCCAATTGACATTCAAATAAATGTCAAAGCTATAAAGTGCTGCTAAAAAACATTTGAGAAAATTGTAAGGTTAAGCGTTTTTTCCCCATTTAGTGTTGAGGACATCAACTAATATGCGATTAAATGTTTTAAAGCTTAATTGTTTTTACTACATAAGTATATGTTCAAGATTTCTATATCCTTTAGTATTTGCTAAGTACTTAGTTCTAAGTTCAATATTTGAAACAAATATTTAAATACTTCAATTTGTACAAAAAAAAGGAATATAAAGATATAAAATACAGAAAAATATAATAAAATAATTGGAATTTTATTTATATAAATGTTTTCATCTCTCGTATATATTTGTATTTGATTAAAGCAAAAAAAAAAAACCAATATATATGTATGAGTTCACACATTTAAAAGTTTAAAACAATTCAATCATGGCAACCACTAACACAACCCTCGCTGATTGGCAGGGCTGATATCATTAAAGTCTTAACTCCACGCTAAGTAGAAAACCCATTTAAATTATAAAGGCATTATGTGCAATAAACCGCAAACACTTCTAAACCAAATTCTGAAAGCAACGCATGCAAGAAATGCGTCGAATTAATTCTGCAGAAAGGGGAAGCAAGCAAACACTTTAGAAACGGGCAAAGGAGGCAGTTTTCATTTCAATTCTTTTGCCAATTTTTTTTATTTTCAATCAAAGTTTTTTTTTTCATGGCTAGTGCGCTCTATTATGCAAAGAATAATGGAATACACACAAGATGTCGCAAATGTTGTCTATTGCGGGCATACATTTTTTTATGAATTATTAATAAAAGAACTGAGTATTTTGTTGTTGGGGGTCGACTGTACTCTTTGACTTTGTGGTTGTCAGGCTGTTGCGCACCTGGAGCTAGGAAACCACACCTGTAATTTCTAACCCGCCCCTCAGCACAGCACAGCACAGCCCAGCCACCTCAACCATCTCAACCACTCGACGATCTATTCAGTTTCATTTCTTTGTGCTTTGTGTTTTGCATAAAATATGTATTGTGCGGGAGGAGGTGGGGGGAGCTGGGGAGAGGTAAAGCAAGTCACTCTTCAAGCAAGCGAAAAAATGCGTAATGTGTTTGCCTTTCATGCACACTCACACAAACACACTCATACACTCACACACAGCCATATACACAGACAAACAGGCAACAGAACGGAAGCAAACAAACAGCCATTTTTACTCACTGAGCGCTGTTTTGCTATTTCCGTACCGAAGCTCTTAACTGTACTTTTAACTTGCAAGCCAGGCCAGGCCAGACCAGACCAGCCACTAAGTCAGTCAGTCAGTCAGTCAGTCAGTTTGTCATTCCGCAACGCCCCTGTCAATGCGCGTGTTTGTCAACCTGTGGCATTCCTGTCTTGGCTTCACTTTTCATTTTCCTGTACTTCTTTCGCTTTCACTTTCCCCCTGCCACCTTCCCCCCTTCCCCACTTCCCACTTGACAAACTTGCCACCTTGCCTCCTTGCCACCTTGCCAATTCAAGTCATTAACATGAACTGTATGTACGCTCAAAAGAAGAGCAAGTTGCCAACTGCTTTTAGCCAACTTTGCAGCGCTGACTGAGGCGCATAATTGCAACGTTTGCGCTGCTAATTTAAAGCAACGCCAGTCTGCCTGTCTGTCTGTCTGCCCCCCACCACCTGACAGCCAGCACCGTCTCTTTGTTTGATTCCTTTAGCCTGCAGAATTTGCAAGTGTAATGTGAGATGACATCTCTGTCGAGAGCGGCGCACAGTTTCCTCCCGTTGCCATTCAAAGTTTAAGTTTAAGTTCCATTTAGTCACTCACTAATAAGCCGGCAATTACCAAAAAGCACGTCAAGGTGACGTCTGCCTTCGGGCATGTGGCCCCAAAAAATGTAATTTGGTTTGAAACATATTTTGCATTAGAAATGAAAATTAGTAAAATAATTGAGTGTCATCTTAGCTGAGTTTGCAGGCTTTGGAATGTCCTTTAAAGACTAATGTAAAATAAATTAATAACAGACACTTTTTTAAAATATACACCATTTATACGCTTAATATCCTTTAAAGACTAATGTAAAATATATTGATAGATCTGCTACAGAACCTTTTTTAAAATACACAGCAGTTATGCGCTTATAGTTATTAATATGTTTGATATCTTTTTTTTTTAAATAAAAAAATAAAATAAGAATAATAATTTATAAAAACAACGTAGTTGCCATTTTTCAAATAAGAAATCACAATTAAATTTATAAATATTTTTATTTTAGGATATTTTTATGATAAGCAGATTAATTTATATTTTTAACCGTCTTCAAAAGGGGAGGATATTTTTGTTTATAAGAGATCGATACTGAAAGAAAACTTTAAAACGAAGTTCTGCAAAAAATACACTGAAATAATACATAAAATATTCTGATATTTCAGCTTGGCGCGCAAGGGCGTACGCAGAGGAGGAGCCGGGGGGGGGGGGGGGCGTGAATTATGCTTATGTTTACAAAAACAAACAATGGTAGACAAGGCGATGCTAATGTTATCGTCATTTGAATAGAATAATAATAAAAACATGCCTTTTAAGGCTCTGTCCGTTTGCTGGCATTTCCAATGCATGAAGTAGATTCTCCCACGAACTGAATAGATCCCTTTTTTACCCATTTGATGGATGCAGGGTATAAAGGAAAATGGGAACACGTGACACACGCGCCTCGGATAAATGATTACAAAAAATCATGCAATGCGTGGGCTGAAGGTGAGTGGGTGGGGAAATTATTAAAAGAGTCAGCGGCTGCTTTCTCGGCATGTGTTTTTCCATCTTGCTGGCTGTTTTTCATCTTTTTCGGTTGCTAGATTAAAGCGCTCGAGGCAACAAGCTGCGGCAGCTTGCATAAATAAGCAGCAGGCAGGCAGCAGGCAGGCAGATAGGCAGGCTGGCGAATTGCCTTCAATTAAACTTGCAACAATTTTGTTTAAATTGATGCCTCGAATTTGTCTAAACTTGCGGCAGACATTCATTTTGCAGCTATTGGCATTAGCATTGCTTGCATCATTTATTTGAATGCCCGGCACCTGCGCTCTCGAGCCATTTAATGAGCCATCAAATGGCAATTGAAGCCGTAGCCGGAGCCGAAGCCAAAGCCCAATACTTTGAGAGCCAGCGTTGCGTATGAGTGATTTTCTATGGCACCGCCAGCTGTGCAAATATGTATGCTGGCTATGTAAAATATTTGCCACTTGCGATGAGTTCGAAGTTGAAAGTTGACAGCGTGACGTTGACGGAACCAAACGAAACAAAACGAACAAATTTGTGGGAAAAAAACGCGCGCTCTCATCGTGGCAATCGCCCCCCCCATTTCCCCCTTCATGCAGCCAGTCAGTCATTCAGTCGGTGTTTCTTTTTTCATTTTTCATGCGTATTCATAAATTTTTCATTTTGACAATGTTTTGTGCGCCTTCGACATGTGTTTGACATTTGCATATGGAGCTCGCTCCTCAAGGTGCCGGGCCGTTTGTGAGGCCCACCCCTGCCTATAGCTGAGTGGATAATGGCAGGCCTGGCCAGGCCAGGTTGTGGATACAATTCTGAGCAAAGGCGGTGCCTGCATACTACTTATGTGTGTATGTTTGATCAAAAGCAAGTTACACCTTTTTCATAAAATCACTCTCATAAATCAATTGGTTGGTAGGAGAATATGCTTATGGGATGAAAGTGTACGATGGAATTCGTTTCATCAGTGAAGGTTTCCTTTTAAGTAATACAATAAGTTGGAAAATTACTTTTTTATTTAGCAACATGGTGCAAAAATTTCAAATTTTGTTT